GGTCGTGCTGTGGCGCCACAGTAATGATGGTGGTGTGGGCGTCCAGCTCCAGCACGGGCGTGTTGCTCTCTCTGTGTGGCGTGGGCGTCGTCGCGGGCGTGGGCGTGTTGTAACGGGCGGGGAGATCTTCTGGTCGCAGGGCGGCCAGCCATGGCTTGTCGGCGCACACCAGGGCGATGTCGGCCAGAAGAGTTAGTGAATCGTGCGGACCGGCGGGGGACGGCGGCCATGGAGTCTGTCCCTGTGGCGGGGAGGTGGGGGGCGCCGGCCCCCCAACATTGTTGTACACCACTCCGGCCTCCCCCATACCTGCCTCCAACACTACGGGGTAAACACACACCTGGCTGAGCGTTGTGGCACATATATCACTTTAGCAACGGAAGAACGATCACACGACACCTCGAAGGCTCTCAAGTACGACACTTTAGCGGGCCGCGAGTACGATACCTCTTAGGCTCTTGGGTACGATACCTCTTAGGCTCTCGGGTACGATACCTTGGAGACTCTCTCACACGTGAGGAGCCACTTGTTCGTGGCGTGGCGGCAACGGCACTGGTGGTAGCGAGGGCCGGTGGTTGGCACGAGTGCCCCTCACCACGTGCTGGCACCCACACCTATTTTGAGCCCTTCTACCACCCTCATTCTGGCCCGGTCCCACCCCCCTTGCCCCCACGACCCTCCCTAACACAGCTGCTGCCCCCACGACCCACCCTAACACAGCTGCTGCCCCCCCACGACCCACCCTAACACAGCTGCTGCCCCCCCACGACCCACCCTAACACAGCTGCTGCCCCCCCACGACCCTCCCTAACACAGCTGCTGCCCCCACGACCCACCCTAACACAGCTGCTGCCCCCCACGACCCACCCTAACACAGCTGCTGCCCCCCACGACCCTCCCTAACACAGCTGCTGCCCCCCACGACCCACCCTAACACAGCTGCTGCCCCCCACGACCCTCCCTAACACAGCTGCTGCCCCCCACGACCCACCCTAACACAGCTGCTGCCCCCACGACCCACCCTAACACAGCTGCTGCCCCCCACGACCCACCCTAACACAGCTGCTGCCCCCCACGACCCTCCCTAACACAGCTGCTGCCCCCCACGACCCTCCCTAACACAGCTGCTGCCCCCACGACCCTCCCTAACACAGCTGCTGCCCCCCACGACCCTCCCTAACACAGCTGCTGCCCCCCACGACCCACCCTAACACAGCTGCTGCCCCCCACGACCCACCCTAACACAGCTGCTGCCCCCCACGACCCACCCTAACACAGCTGCTGCCCCCCACGACCCACCCTAACACAGCTGCTGCCCCCCCACGACCCACCCTAACACAGCTGCTGCCCCCCCCACGACCCACCCTAACACAGCTGCTGCCCCCCCCCCACGACCCACCCTAACACAGCTGCTGCCCCCACGACCCACCCTAACACAGCTGCTGCCCCCCACGACCCACCCTAACACAGCTGCTGCCCCCCCCACGACCCACCCTAACACAGCTGATGCCCCCACGACCCACCCTAACACAGCTGCTGCCCCCCACGACCCACCCTAACACAGCAGCTGCTCCCCACGACCCTCCCTAACACAGCTGCTGCCCCCCACGACCCACCCTAACACAGCAGCTGCCCCCCACGACCCTCCCTAACACAGCAGCTGCTCCCCACGACCCACCCTAACACAGCTGCTGCCCGATACTTTTTGGCTTTGATTTTGAATAAGGCAAAAGTTGAACAGCTTTTCATAATGTTGCATCTGTGTACGGTGTGGCACAGGGCGCTCTGAGTGTTGGATCTGGGATCCCTGGTGCCGCCCCTGTGTCGGAACTTCCTAATGGTGGGCTTCTTCGAGGGATCTTTACCTCTACCTTACGACAGTTGGGATCGTAGAGTCGGATTGGTCTGCTGCGGTTACACCAGTCGCTTCCCTAGCATTCAACACCTTCCCTACCCTTCACCACCTTCCCCTGCCCTTCACCACCTTCCCCTGCCCTTCACCACCTTCCCTACCCTTCACCACCTTCCCTACACTTTACCAACTTCCCTGCCCTTCATCACCACTTCGTAACTATATTAATTTAAGGTAAGTAATACTGTGAAATAGGCTGTTGATGTCTGCGTGTACAAACTCTGCAACTATTTCGTCAGTGTTCTAACTTGCTTAGCTAATTGGATATTGAGGTTGAGTTCCTGAGCTCATAATGTCCTCCTGTAACCTTCCCACTGTCACTCACAGGATGAATATGGACTCTCCTCCACTCACAGGTTGAGTGTGGGAGGTTCACCACTAACTCACAGGATGGGTATGGATTCCGCCATTGTACTCAGGCTTGGTATGGGGCCCATCGCCGCCCACACGATGGGCATAGGCTACGTAATAGTTTTTGGAGCGCCTTCGACAAGCTCCCGGCTTCCTGTCCTCGTCGAGGCCACTAGTGTTAGTGGCCCCCTCGGGTAAATTCAGGTAATTAATAAATGAAACTAACCAATAGTTAAATTCTCTGCAGTTAGGATAGGAGCCTCATTACATTTTCCCGCGGTTTTTCTCCCCCCTGCTGGCGTTTGGTTAGTACTAATGCTTATAGAGGCGGGTTTCTTGGGCGCGGCGGCATACCTTCCGCCCTTTGTTCCTGGCTGCTATTCTTATATACGTCAGACTGTGTTATATGGACTCCCGGGCCCTCCACTCCTGTTGCGTCAGGAAGTGGTTGTCATTCTTGAATTGCGTATGTGCCTAATTGTGCCTGCGGGGTGTTGAGCTTTGGCTCTTTGGTCCCGCCTCTCGATTATCACTCAACTGGTATATACACTTCCTGAGTCTATTAGGTTCATTCATATCTACATTTGAAACTGTGTATGGAGTCTGTCTCCACCTACCATTACTACCCAGATGCAACATTTTCATAATGTTGCATCTGGGAAGGTGTACAATCCCTGAACCCGTGTTGGTGGTGTTACAAAAGTTTCGTCTCTCCTGATTTTTTTTCTAAATCTTCTCAGTCACCTTGCATGATATGCAAGTTAGGGACACTGGTGTATAGTTCAGTGCTGTCTGTCTGTCTCCCATCTTGTATATCGGGACTATAATAGCCGGCTTCCAACTTTTTAGTAGTTCTGCTACCAGTGACCTATTATACACCATGATGGGGAAGGTGTCTGTGGTGTCAGTGAGAGAGGGTAGTACTTCTGACAGGGGACTGTCGCATCTTCGGGGTGGGGCTCGCCTGCTGAGGTCTCTCACCTGCACTCAACTCTCGCCTGTGGCTCCTAGGAGCAGCTGTCTGCAGGCAACAGCGGCCACACCCGGGGTAAACACCTTCCACTGGCGGGCACAACCAGGTGAGGGTTGTCGAAGATTTGAGGCCCTCGGTGAACTAAAGTTTCTCTCCCTACGCATGTCAAGACTGGACCAGGCTTGTTGATGTTTTTAGATTCAGCAACTCAGAACACAAAGTTCCAAGCAGCACGGGCTATGGTGAGCCCGTCGTACTTACCTGGCATAGGAGATATGCACGCAGATGCTAGACCCGGCGGACTGCGCTAAGGGAACCACCAGAATAGGTCAAAGGGCGGGAAGGCGGAGACCCAGCAAAGCGCTGACCAGCGGACGGGAACCCGGACCTATGATTGATTCATACGTCCATCCTTTGCATTTAATTTTTTGTTCCGTTTGAATTGAGACAAACTTATCTATTGCTTCCTGCCACGTCTGAGAAATGTAATCCATCATGTCTTGTGCAGTCTTAGGTTCTGTTACCAATGGCATTGCTATTTACACTCGTGTGTATGTGCCTACATATCCCAGGGGCCTACAGTTCACTTTTGTTGCTGGCATGTCTGTTAAAAGATCACGGGATGACTCGGAATGGTTAAAAGAAAAAATAAACTGGTTAAAGTCCCTCTGCATGAAATCCTGATCGAGGTCCCCTTCCCTCTAGTTATTACCATCAATAGGGCGTCGAAGTATCCAACAGGAAGCTGGCTGGGTGAGGAGAACCTTGTCACGTCTGGAATTGGCAGAACCCGTAAGATATGTGTGTAGATCTATTGATTCAAACTGTAACTATCCCTTCCCACCCCCCTCCTTCGTCCCAGGTGATAAGACGCATACGTGACGTGTACATCACCCACGTCAAGACGTTGAATGGCCCAACGATGTGTAGTCACGAAACTGTGCAAGATGGCCAACATTGGTAACAAAGCCCACGATGTTGGTAAATATTATGTTAGTAGAGAGAGAGAGAGAGAGGTACGCCTAGGCTCAGCGTGCCCTTGCTACACTGCTGGGTGCTGGGTGTTCCTGGGGGCGGTGTAGGGGGGTATATTTAACCCTTACCTTGAAGATGTAAGGCGCTCATCTGGCCACCTAGGGAGTGGGAAGTGGCCATGTGGGTGGGAAGTGAGCCGTAGGTGGGTGTTGGGAGGAATAAGGAGACAGTTTGGGGGATGGAGAGTGGGCTGAATGGGATGGGAGAGGAATAGGGAGTGGCGTGGGAGAGGGGCTATTGAGAGAGGGATGGTGGGGGACAGGTAAGACTTGTGAGGGGAGGGAGAGGGAGCAGGTAACAAAGGGAAATTCCCTTAAGGGTGCTGCGTGGCTGGCAGTGGTCCAGCAGATGGCGTCAGCACCACCTGCCACCACCACCACACGCCTCAACCACCTGCCACCACCACACTCAACCACCTGCCACCACCACCACCACTACCACACAACCACCTACCACCACCACCACCACACTCCTCAACCACCACCACCACACTCCTCAACCACCACCACCACCACACTCCTCAACCACCACCACCACCACACTCCTCAACCACCACCACCACCACACTCCTCAACCACCACCACCACCTGCTTGATACCGGGCTTGGGGAGATTCACGAAGCAGTTACGCAAACACTTACAAACCTGTATATCTTTTCTCAGTCTTTGGCGGCTTTGTTTACAATTATTAAACAGTTAATGAGCTCCGAAGCACCAGGAGGCTGTTTATAACAATAACAACAGTTGATTAGGAAGTTTTCATGCTTGTAAACTGTTTAATAAATGTAACCAAAGCCGTCAAAGATTGAGGAAAGATGTACACGTTCGTAAGTGCTTGCGTAAGTCCTTCGTGAATCTGGCCCCTGGTTGATGGGGTTCTGGGAGTTGTTCTACTCCCCAAGCCCGGCCCGAGGCCAGGCTTGACTTGTGAGAGTTTGGTCCACCAGGCTGTTGGTTGATACCTGGTTGATGGGGTTCTGGGAGTTGTTCTACTCCCCAAGCCCGGCCCGAGGCCAGGCTTGACTTGTGAGAGTTTGGTCCACCAGGCTGTTGCTTGGAGCGGCCCGCAGGCCCACATATACCTGGTTGATGGGGTTCTGGGAGTTCTTCTACTGCCCAAGCCCGGCCCGAGGCCAGGCTTGACTTGTGAGAGTTTGGTCCACCAGGCTGTTGCTTGGAGCGGCCCGCAGGCCCACATATACCTGGTTGATGGGGTTCTGGGAGTTCTTCTACTGCCCAAGCCCGGCCCGAGGCCAGGCTTGACTTGTGAGAGTTTGG